GTTCCACTGGAGAAAAGCCCCAGCCTCTCCTTATAACTCAAACCCTCCAGTCCCAGCAACATCCAGATAAATATTTTTAAAAACTTCTCCAGCTTAATAATATCCTTGCTATGAAAGGGCAACCAGGATTGGACACAGTACTCCAAGAGAATTTTGTTTCCAAAATATGAGCAGGTACAATTGACATAAAACATAAATTTTCTTTAATAAAATGCTCAGGATCTGGAATGCACGAGGGTTATGGAAACAGATTCGACAGTGACATTCAAAAGAGATTTGGATAATTATGTGTAGGAATAAAAAATTGTCTGGATATGGGGTGGGAGTAGGGTTATGGGACTAACTGGACAGCTTTTGGAAAGAGCTAGCATGAATTTGATAGGCTGATTGGCTTGCTGGTATGTGGTACCAGTTGCTGATCCTATAATTAGAGGTGCGAAACCCACACCAGTGACTGTCCTGTGCACCTTACAGTCGAAAGATGATCTGACCTGAATGTAATTCCTACAGTTTTCAATAAATCAGACAGGAACTAACACGCAGGAGCTTTGGAGATGACAGCTGGCCTTGAGAAGAAAATATTAACAACATCAAGTGACAGCTTTGCTTTGTCAAGTGGGCTTGTCATCTTCCAGCTCGTCCAACATGCTCAATCGAGACAAAGTACTCTGTCCAAATCCCACAGTTCAATTGAGGCTGACCTTTCACTGACACAGAGAAGGATCAAGAGGGTCACAAATCTGGATAAATCATTCAGAAGTAAATCATTTAGACATCGGCTCACTGGGTTGCTGCAGGAGACGTGGGTGTGTTTATTGATCTTGAATATCTTGTGCAGTTCCTTCTGTCTCTGCCTTCCAGCTCCCATGGACAGCCATCTTCAGGATCTAACAGATAGGGGCCCACTTCCAAAGCTGCAGGCAGTGCTGCGCTCCGTCACATTCTACGTCACAACCTTCCTCTATCTTGCTCGACGTGGTGAGTGTAGGAGTTGGGACGTCATGTTGCAGCTGTACAGGACGTTGGTTAGGCCGCTTTTGGAATATTGTGTGCAGTTCTGGTCTCCCTGCTATAGGAAGGATGTTGGGAAACTTGAAAGGGTTTAGAAAAGATTTACAAGGACGTTGCCAGGGTTGGAGGGTTTGAGCTACAGGGATAGGCTGGGGCTATTTTCCCTGGAAATGTGAGGTGACCTTATAGAGGTTTATAAAATCATGAGGGGCATGGATACGGTAAATAGATGATATTTTCCCCAGGATAGGGGAGTCCAAAACTAAAGGGCATAGGTTTAAGGTGAGGGGGATAAGATTTAAAAGGGACCTGAGGGGACAACTTTTTCATGCAGAGGGTGGTGTGTGTATGGAATGAGCTGCCAGAGGAAGTGGTGGAGGCTGGTACAGTTACAACATTTAAAAGGCATCTGGATGGGTGCATGAATACGAAGGGTTTAGAGGGATATGGGCCAAATGCTGGCAAATGGGACTAGATTAATTTAGGATATCTGGTTGGCATGGACAAGTTGGACCATAGGGTCTGTTTCCGTGCTGTACATCTCGATGACTCGATGACTCTATGACTGGGTCATTGCTCCTTCCTTATTCCACCAATGTTCTCATACCTCAATTTAAAGCAGGCCAGGTTGGAACAATTCACTAGCAGCCATGCCATACTTCATGGGGTTTATTGTATAATCAGCGAAAGCTTTTTTTCAAATTAATTCATGGGCGTCGCTGACTGGCCAGCATTTCCTGCCCGTCCCTAGTTGCCCTTGAGAAGGTGGTGGTGAGCTGCCTTCTTGAGCCGCTGCAGTCCACCTGCTGTAGGCAGACCCGCAATGCCTTTTAGGGAGAGAATTCCAGGATTTTGACCCAGCGACAGTGAAGGAACGACCGATATATTTCCAAGTCAGGATGGTGAGTGGCTTGGAGGGGAACTTGCAGGTGGTGGTGTTCCCTTGTATCTGCTGCCCTTGTCCTTCTGGATGGAAGTGGTCGTGAGTTTGGAAGGTGCTGTCTGAGGAGCCTTGATAAATATGTGCAGTGAATCTTGTAGATGGTACACATCAGACTAATACCTGGAATGGGCAGATTGTTTCGTGAGGAAAGATTGGACAGGCCAGGCTTGTACCTGCTCGAGTTTTGAAGAATAAGTGTTGACTTGACTGAAACATGTAAGGTCCTGAGTGTTCTTAACAGTGTAAATGTGAAGAGGATGTATCCTCTTGTGGGACTATCAATGACTGGGGGTCACTGTTTTTAAGCATAAGAGGTGACATATTTGAAACTGAGATGAGGCAAAATCTATTTTCTCTGAGGGCTGTGAGTCTTCAGAAATCTCTTCCTTGCTGGAAGTCTTTGAATATTTTTAAGAGGTGGATAGATTCTTGGTAAGAAAGGGGGTGAAAGATTATTAGGAATAGGCAGGAATGTTGAATAGTCATATCAGCCATGATCTTATTGAAGCAGACTTGAGGGGCCGAGCGGCCTACTCCTGCTCCTAATTTATATATAATCATAACTCACACTACAGAAGGTGCTGGATCATTGTGCTGGATCTTTGAAAGATTTATGCAATGCAAACAACAAAGAACAAAGAAAATTACAGCACAGGAACAGGCCCTTCGGCCCTCCAAGCCTGCGCTGATCCAGATCCTCGATCTAAACCTGTTGCCTATTTTCCAAGGATCTGTATCCCTCTGCTCCCTGCCCATTCATGTATCTGTCTAGATACATCTTAAATGACGCTATCGTGCCTGCCTGTACCACCTCCGCTGGCAACACATTCCAGGCACCCACCACCCTCTGCGTAAAGAACTTTCCACGCATATCTCCCTTAAACTTTTCCCCTCTCACCTTGAAATCGTGACCCCTAGTAATTGAGTCCCCCACTCTGGGAAAAAGCTTCTTGCTATCCACCCTGTCTATACCTCTCATGATTTTGTAGATCTCAATCAGGTTCCCCCTCAACCTCCGTCTTTCTAATGTAAATAATCCTAATCTACTCAACCTCTCTTCACAGCTAGCGCCCTCCATACCAGGCAACATCCTGGTGAACCTCCTCTACACCATCTCCAAAGCATCCACATCCTTTTGGTAATGTGGCGACCAGAACTGTACGCAGTATTCCAAATGTGGTCGAACCAAAGTCCTATACAACTGCAACATGACCTGCCAACTCTTGTACTCAATACCCTGTCCGATGAATGAAAGCAAGCCGTATGCCTTCTTGACCACTCTATCGACCTGCGTTGCCAGCTTCAGGGTACAATGGACCTGAACACCCAGATCTCTCTGTGCATCAATTTTCCCCAGGGCTTTTCCATTTACAATGAGTTAGCACTGTGTCTCACAGCGCTAGGGACCGAAGTTCAATTTCACCCTCAGGCGACTAACTGTGTGGAGTTTGCATGTTCTCCCCGTGTCTGTGTGGGTTTCCTCTGGGTGCTCTGGTTTCCTCCCACAGTCCAAAGATGTGCAGATCATGGACTGGCCATGCTGCATTGCCCACATTGTCCATAGACATGTAGGCTAGGTGGATTAGCCATGAGAAATAGAGGGTTATAAGGTGGGTGGGGGGCGGTGTCTGGATGGGATGCTCTTCAGAGTTCGGTATAGACTTGATGGGCCAAATGGCCTGCTCCCATAATGTAGGGATTCTATGAGTCTCATTCCACATAGCGCTGTAAATCATGCGTTTTCAGTTATACATTCAACTCCTTACTATCGAATCTAACACTGCCATCTTTTCAGGTAGTAGCATCATGACAACTCATAAACGTCCCCCAGAAATTACCCCAAAAATTCCTCTATCAATTATCTTTAAAGCTGTTTCCATTGAGTACTGAACATCCCCCTACCCCACCAATAGACAAAGTCTCACCTCCCAAAGCTCTACTCTATCAAATCCCTTTACTCTGTGATAGTTACTCTGTCAAATCCCTTCACACTGTGATAGTTACTCTGTCAAACCCCTTCACTCTGTGATAGTTACTCTATCAAACCCCTTCACTCTGTGATAGTTACTCTGTCAAATCCCTTCACACTGTGATAGTTACTCTGTCAAACCCCTTCACTCTGTGATAGTTACTCTGTCAAATCCCTTCACTCTGTGATAGTTACTCTGTCAAACCCCTTCACTCTGTGATAGTTACTCTGTCAAATCCCTTCACACTGTGATAGTTACTCTGTCAAATCCCTTCACTCTGTGATAGTTACTCTATCAAACCCCTTCACTCTGTGATAGTTACTCTGTCAAATCCCTTCACACTGTGATAGTTACTCTGTCAAACCTCTTTACTCTGTGATAGTTGCTCTGTCAAATCCCTTCACTCTGTGATAGTTACTCTGTCAAATCCCTTCTTAATTCAGAAAGCCCCTATTAATTCTCGCTCAAATATTCTGATACTAAGCAGAAAGATCCTGGGTTCTCCAGTCCCATCACACATAGCTGAAGGTCCCTCTATCCATCCTGCTATTCTAGTAACTTCAAGAAGAAGGTACTTCCTCTGGAGGTAGTTTGGAGATGGTTAACCCAGCTGATTCCTGGGATGAAGGGCTTGCCATGGTGAGGAAAGGTTGAGCAGCTTGGGCCTAAACTCACTGGAGCTTAGAAGAATGAGATATGACCTTATTGAAACATATAAGATTCTGACATGGTAGATATTTAGAGGGATGCTTCTGTTCCTGGGGCAATCTAGAACTAGGGGGCGCAGTTTCAAAATCAGGGGTTTAAGATGGAGGAATTTTATCTCAGATGGTGGTTCGTGTTTTGGGATTGCTTTCTCCCTGTGAGCAATGGAGACTAGGTCACTGAACATATTCAAGGTGGAGATAGACAGATTGTCGATTGACAAGAGAATCAAAGACTGGAAATCGGAACTGAGGCCACATCAGATCATACTGAATGGTGCAGCAGGCTAGAGGGACTGATCATTCTATTCCTGCTCCTAGTTCTCTTCTTATTAACCCAACACATCCACTTACTGGGATACGCTTTAAAATAGGTGCTCACAAATCGGTCATGGTCATTGTAGATCGTCCGAGCCATCCCCGGCCATGGCTGTGCAATGCAGAGCGATCCAGAGATTTTGTTCCCTGTTAATCTCCGACCCTGGAACAGGCACAAACCAAAGGTCAACGGAAGTCTGAAATCTTACCTAAGACCTGACATTGACACTATAGAGAGTGGCCCTAGAGTGCAATCAGTGATGGCAGTTCGGAATAATCTCCGATGTCAAGAATGGGGGCACAGAAGAATTTGGATGAGTATATGAAAGAATAGGGAACAGGGAGATCTACTAAAACTCCACTGAGGCAGAGATGTATTGGGAATGGCTCAAAACAAGTTTAAGCAGCAGCACAGACTATTGGTGCTGAATGGCCTGTTTCTATGCTTTGTATCCCAGATAATTCTCCATCGTGTAACTAATGGGCTTTACTGAGCTCTTTGCCACTGGATCTGGGTACAGCTGCTCAATATCTATTGACTAATGCAAATCACGGCATTCTCAGGGAATAACTCACAGGGGTGCTATTCCCACACTTTTCCCTGACTGAAAGGGAAAGCAGTTATACATCAGGTATTCCACATATTCCCATTGAATCCCAGCCAGATCCAAAGAAGTTAAAGTCTCCATTCCAAATAGATTCATACAGCACGGAATCAGGCCCTTCAGCCCAAATCATCCATGCCAACCAGTTTGCCTGCCTGGAAAAGGCCTCGCCAATTCAGCAAATCTTGATACTTACTGCTGTCCACAGATAAAGGGCACAAAAGACGAAGTGATGTAAAAGGAAAAATATCAACATTTTCTAATTACATTCTCGTCCATTAGTACTGGGTCAATTCCGAAGAAGGGTCTCATTGCCATAGCTGGGAGAATCTTCGCCTCTCTGTCTGCGGGGTGAGGGGCGATACAGATACCACCAGTCTCTGAAAAAACAACACAAACTCTCCTCATCAGTACCGACTGGGAAATATATCGACATTCCTTCAGTGTTGCTGGGTCAAAATCTTGGAACTCCCACAGTCACGGCATTATGGGTTTACTTACTGCGCATGGACTGCAGCACCTCATGAAGGCAGCTCACCGCTACCTCCTCAAGGGCAACTAGGGAGGGGCAATAAATGCTGGTCCAGTCAGCAATGCCTACGTCCCATGAATTAATTCTAAGAAACAGGTGGAGGGTCATTCCAGAAGAGCAGGAAGTGTCTATGGTACTGTACTCTGAAATGGCTGAGAACCTTCCACATACATGCATCGCATCAGAACACATGTCAGCTAAGCTTAGCTGTTTACAAAGAAATGTATCCAGACGGGAACTCCCCATTTCCACACTGTTACAGGGTATGTGGATTACACCAACTGTTTCTCACCCCATTAGGCCAATCTCCTTAGCTCACCAGCCTCAGAATTCTCACCCTAAGGTTGCAGGCTCGACTCCTGTCCCTAAGAATTGAGCATAATGTCTGGACTGATACTCTAGTGTCAAACTGCTGAATGCTTAACTCTCAGAGTTGACAAGAAATTCTATGCTACTGTTTGGAAGTAGAGCAGTGGAATTACTTGCTTGGTGTCCGGGTCAGTATTTATTCCTCAAACAACATCACCGAGAAACAGATGGATCTGGCCACTGTCACATTGCTCTGTGCAAAATGACAGATTAATTCCAGTCACACTCCTTACATTACAACAATGCTGTTCTTCAAAAACAGGTTTTTGGTAGCGATATCTGCAGGTTGTGATAGATGCTTATGAAAGGCAAAGCTCTGTTTCTTTAATCCTGATTGTTGCAGACATTGTGGGGTGCAAGGGTTGGGGGGGTGGGGGGTGTGGGTGGTGAATTATAGCCAGACACTTGGTTCCAAGGACAAAACGCTAGGAAATGTGGATGCTGGAAATCAGAAACGAAAACTGAAATAGCTGGGAAAACTCAGCAGGTCTAGCAGCAGAGTTAAGGTTACTTTCACTCCACAGATGCTGCCAGACCTGCTGAAGTTTCCCAGCTATTTCTGTTTTCGTGACTTGGTTCTGGGAAGCAATCCCAGGTTAAATGCAGCTTTAGAGTTGGTCAATGGACAGGAGTTGGACAGTATGACTGTAAATCAGACTGGTGTGATGGAGATCCAGACATGGATTTTGACCTACAGATATGAGGTACTTGATACATGTGTAGGTGAAAGGAAGCAATGGAGAATGGAGGGAGAAACAGTCTGCAGCAGCATGTCCAAGAAGGAGGGTATACAAATGCAGGGTGAGGGAGCATGATGACGAGTGATAAAGAATACAACTGTGACAGGAAACAGTAGTCAGGAGAAGAGGGGGAGGCAATGGCCTAGTGGTATTATCGCTGGGCTGCTAATCCAGAGACTCATATAACGTTCTCATGTTTGAATCCCGCCATGGCAGATGGTGGAATCTGAATTCAATAAATATCTGGAATTAAGAATTGAACGATGACCGTGAATCCATTGCTGATTGTTAGAAAAACCCATCTGGTTCACCAATTTGGGAAGGAAGCTGCCATCCTTACCTGGCCTGGCCTACATGTGACTCCAGACCCACAGCAATGTGGATGGGCAATAAATGCTGCCTGGTCAGTGATGCCCTCATCCCATGAATGAATAAAACATAAGAAAAAATACTGTGCAAATCTTCTTGCTTGCCCTGTGCCAGTGTTCAAGAATCCTTGCAACTGGAGAGGAATTTGGAGTTTAAGGGAAAATCCAGCAGCTGTGGTTCACCATAGGGACAAAGGACACAGATGGAACTAGGAAGGATGGCCCACTGAGAAAGTTTGAGGAATTAAGGCTCAAAGCAGAAAGTAGGACTTCAAACGTAACCACCTCAGAGTTGGTTACCTGAGCCGCACACCAGTTATCATGGGTTAGGGTTGAGATTAGAGCCATTTTAGATCTCGATTAGAAGTCTGAATAAGTGGCTGCAGGAGTTTTGTGTAAAGAAGGGACTTTGCTTCATGGGACATTGGTGCCGTTACTGGGGAAGAGGCAACAGTTCCACTAGGATGGGCTTCACTTAAACCAGACTGGGACCAGCATCTTGGTGAATCAAATGACAAGGGACAAAGGCAGGGCTTTAAATAAAAACTGGGAGAATTCAACAAAAGGTAAATTCAAAAACACCAAGGGGAATGTTGAATAGCAACATTTTCAGGGGTAAAATATAAACTAGGAAGGGGAAAGGAGACCAACCAATCAAATGAAATCATTTTCAATTCATATGCACAATGAAGTATTGTTTGTCGATTTGATGAGAACAAGACTGAACCTTTGGTAAAGCAGACACTTGAGCAAAGCGATAATGGGACATTAGTGAATACAGTGATATCAGGAGCAATTGGGAAATGTAGTGAGAGCTAAAATACATGGAATTAGATAACGAGCACATATATAGAAATTTAGGCGTTTGATCTACTATGGAGACATGGTTGCAAAGTGACAAATGTTGGGGACTAAATATGTCAGGATACTTAACTTGCAGAAGAGATGGGCAAAATGGAAATGGAGATGAGATAATCCAGATAAATAAAGAAGGGGATAAACACTAAAGAGGGAAAGGATCTTAGCTCAGAAAATCAAGAATTAAAATCTGTTTGGCTGGAGCTAAGGAATGGCAAAGGGCAGAAATTGGTGTAAGTTGTTTGTTGGCTCTCAAACAGTGTGTAGGACACAGTACGAGCCAGCAAATCAGATACGTTTGTAATAAGGGTAATACAATAATCTTGGGAGTCTTTAATAAACCAAAAATTTAAATTGACAGTAATCGTGGCAGATGGGTTCATGGAGTATATATAAAATTGTTTTCTAGATCAGTATGTCGAGGAAAGTCATTTTAGATCTAGTATTGTGTGATAAGAAAGAATTAGTTAATAGCCTTGTACTAGAAGAGTCTCTAAAGGAGGAGTGACCATAATATATTGTAGACATTTCTCTGGGAATATAATATGCTTTGGGGCGGAGACAGGTGAAATTATGACGGGGACAAGGAAAATGGAAGAGACAAATCAAATATTTTGTGATATTAGGAACTGCCGATGCTGGAGAATCTGAGATAACAAGGTGTAGAGCTGGATGAACACAGCAGGCCAAGCAGCATCAGAGGAGCAGGAAGGCTGACGTTTCAGGTCTGGACCCTTTTGAGAGATACACAAACATGGCTATAAAATGCTGCAGTCACAGAGGGGGGGGGGGGGGGGGGGAAGGGGGGGGGGGGGGGGGGGGCGGTGGTGGGGGGTGCAGGGTGGTCTGTGCTGAAATGGGAGACTACAGCAGCTGTCCAGAGCAGCTGTCTCTGTAACTGAAGTCACCAGCCTAAAAGGGACATCATCTTCCAGGAAGAATGTCTGGCTGTTTTCTTGGAAGAAGATGGGCCTGAACAGTGCTGCTAAATGCCCACAGTGAGGAGCACAACAAACAAATCTGTGGGTTGTTATTTGATTATTTATTCAGGGGCTAGTCCAGCGTTTATTGTGTTGAGATGATGGAGGTGAGCTGCCATCTTGAACTGTGTAGACCTATATTGGAACATCCGCAGTGACGTTAGGGAGTTCCAGGAATTTGACCCAGTGAAGGAACAGTGATATATTTCCAAGTCAGGATGCTCAGTGGCTCCAAGAGGAATTTTCAGATGGTGGTACTCCTGTGTTTTGCTGCTCCTGTGCTTCTAGATGGAAGTGGGTGCTTGCTGGCCAGCACATAGGGGACCTCCTCTCCCACCCACTCAAAAAAGTTCAAAGCCCGGCCAACGGTCTCAGATTCAGGAAGAGAAACAGAAATGGCTGGAGAAACACAGCAGGTCTGGCAGCATCTCTGGAGAGAAAGCAGAGTTAACATTTTGGATCTGACTCTTCTTCAGCATCAGGAAGTGGGTAGCTGGTTGTGAACCACTGTCTGCCCTCTCCCCTCCCCTGTAATTGCCCCCTTCTCCCCTCCACACAACACCTCCACTTCTGGCAATGGGATCCAGTTTTGCTCCTGGACTTCAGGTGGGTGTCATACCAGCAGTATCCACTACCTTCCCAGTAGCACTGCTATGCAATAGAGCTGCCAGCTTCTGGTTGACCATAGGAGCTGGGATCTCTGTCCTCTGATCCCAGGAAAGGTCCGGTTTAGTCCTGAGTCTCGCTGGGACTGTTCCTGGCTCTCCAGCACCATTGAATACTGTCCTAGTATATCAGGTCCATCTTGTTATCACTCAGTTCAAGTAGTTTGTCCAGTACTTATACCAATTTCTTTAAGTTCCTCACTTTTGATAGACCCTTTGTTCGTCATTATTTCCAGAATGTTTCTGGATCTTCAACTTTGAAAACAGACAGAAAATATTTGAGATAACAAGGTGTAGAGCTGGATTTTTAAAAAAACATACAACTTTTGAGACAGCTTCAGACATTGAAATTACTCCCTCACATATCTGTTTAATTTTATATTTCAGCTTTTAGGTTATACTTTTTTTTTAAATCATGTAATCCTTCAGGAACCCATTCTGGAGAATAGGTCTTACGTCACTCAAAAGCGACCAGTTTCATAACTAATTGGAGTTCAGCTCTGGTAGATGATTTGAGCAGGTTTTGAATGGCTCTCTCCTGTTCTGATGTTTATGAGCACCAATGGGCGCCAGTCAAACAGTTACCTCATCACAGCCTCCGAATAGTCTGAGCTCACCTGAGATACCACATGGGTTTGTAAATGGGATGACTGAAACCCTTGTCATTTAGAACTGTAGAAACCGTCATCGCTACAATGAGCTGGTGAGCTGCCCCAGTGACCCAGGGCAAGAAAAGAAAATAGCCCCATCAACATCACAAAAACAGATTACCTCCTCCTTATCATGTTGTTGTCTGTAGGAGCTTGCTGTGCACAAACTGCCTGGCATGTTGTAAACGCGACTGTACTGCAAAACCGTACTTGATTTGTTTTTATTCATTCACGGGATGAGGGCGTCACTGACCAGGCAGCATTTATTGCCCATCCCCAAAGGGCAGTTAAGAGTCAACCACATTGTTGTGGGTCTGGAGTCACATGTAGGCCAGACCAGGTAAGGATGGCAGTTTCCTTCCCTAAAGGACATTAGTGAACCAGATGGGTTTTTCCAGACAATCGACAATGAATTCATGATCACCATTAGATTCTTAATTCCAGATATCTTATTGAATTCAAATTCCATCATCTGCCGTGATGGGATTTGAACCCAGGTCGCCAGAACATTATCTGGGTCTCTGGATTAACTGTCCAGCAACAATACCACTAGACCATCACCTCCCCTGATGGCTGTAAAGTACCTGAAAGTCTTTAAAAGATGTTCTACAAATGCAATTATTTCTTTCATTCTGAAGCTGTGCCTTTGGCCAAGCTGTTCGAGTACACATGTAACACTGACATCTACCCAAAAATGTGGCAAATTGCCCAGGTACGTCCTGTCCATGAAAAGTAGGACAAATCCTGGCCAATTACTACCCCATCAGTCTGCTCTCAAACATCAGTAAAGTGATGAAAGGTGTCATCAACAGTGTATCAAGAAGCTCCTACTCAGCAATAACCCGCTCAGTGATGCCCAGTTTGGGTTCTGTCAGGGCCACTCAACTCCTGATCTCATTACAGCCTTGGTTCAAACATGGACAAAACAGCTGAATTCCAGAGGTGAGGTGAGAGTGACAGCTTTTGATATCAAGGCTGTATTCAACCGAGTGTGGCATCAAGGAGCCCTAGCAAAACTGGAATCAATGAGTATCGGGGGAAACTCTCTGCTGGTTGGAGTCATACCTGACACAAAGGGAGATGGTCGTGGTTGTGGGAGGTCAATCATCTCAGCTCCAGGACATCTCTGCAGGAGTTCCTCAGGGTAGTGTCCTAGGCCCAACCATCTTCAGCTGCTTCATCATGACCTTCCCCCCATCGTAAGGTCAGAAGTGGGGATGTTTGCCGATGATTGCACAATGTTCAGCACCATTTGCTGCCTTCTCGGATAATGAAACAGTCCATTTCAAATGCAAAAAGATCTGGACAACACTGAGGTTTGGGCTACAGCCACATCCCAATGTTAAGCAGCATATGCGTTGGACAATCGGTATCACATGGTATCTATGATGACAGATTGTATCTGTCTGCAGTATTTATTTTCTTTCATGGGAGTGTAGGCATCCCTGGCAAGGTCAGCATTCATTGTTCATTGTGAATTACCGTTGAACTGAGTGGCTTGATGGGCCATTTCAGAGTCAAGCGTGGAGTCACATGTACGCTGGACTGGGTAGGGAAGGCAGATTTCCTTCTCTAAAAGATAGATGTGAATCAGATGAATTTTTACCAACAATCGATGATACTTCTTGGTCACTATGATTGAGACCAGCTTTGTATTCCAGATTTCATAAACTGAACTTAAATTCCACCAGCTGCCATAGTAGAATTTGAACCCATGACCCCAGTATTTTGGCGTGGTCCACAGGATAGCCCGTCCAGTGACAGGACTAATTTGTAACTGTCTTACCTGTTTGCCACCAAGTATCCACCACTGGGCATTTGCCATCCCCAACAACTCTATAATACCAGTCCCATGCCTCAGGATTAATGGGCTCTCCAACTGAAAAATCAAAGACAGACAGAATGCGATAGTTAATTTCATTCATTCCAAAATGAATATCATCATAGAATCCCAACGGTGCGGAAGCAGGCCATTCAGCCCACTGAGTCCACACTGACCCTCCAAAGAGTGTCCCTCTTAACCTAGTAACCCTACAGTTCCCACAGCCAGCCTAGCTAGCCTGCACATCCCTGGTCACTATTGGCCATTTAGCATGGCCAATCCATCTAACCTACACATCCCCGGACTCCATGGGCAATTTAGCACAGACAATCCATCTAACCTACACATCCCCGGACACCATGGGCAATTTAGCACGGCCAATCCACTTCACCTGCATATCCCTGGACTGCGGGAGGAAACCGGAGCACCCGGCAGAACCCCACACAGACGCAGAGAGAACATGCAAACTCCACACAGACAGTCGCCCAAGGCTGGAATCAAACCTGGGTACCTGGTGCTGTGAGGCAGCAGTGCTAACCACTGAGCCACCGTGCCACCCAACATCTTAACCAAAACCATGAACATAGAATACTGTTTCAGAGATAGTAGGAACTGCAGATGCTGGAGAATCTGAGATAACAAGGTGTAGAGCTGGATGAATACAGCAGGCCAAGCAGCATCAGAGGAGCAGGAAAGCTGACGTTTCGGGCCTAGACCCTTCTTCAGAAAATTTTCTGAACACAGCTGTGTTCATCCAGCTGTACACTTTGTTATCTCAGATTCTCCAGCA